TATATTGTCTACGAATTTTAGGAAGCTCTGTGGACCTTTATTTTCTTTGAATGCTCGGTATTGTCGTCTCCGTGAATCTTTTCGAAGAACCTTGCCTGTCCTCCACTGTAAAATTACTAAGCGAGCCAGCTTCGTAATTAATTGTAAAATGTCATTTAACCAGTCGTATCGATTCAGTTTAAAGAATATGCACTTGTTAGCAAAGTCTTTGTTTACCTTTATTTGACTGGTCGATAACAAAAAGATGGACGTTTTTTGCGTTACCACCATGACGGTGGCCACTCTAACAGCGGAAGCAGCCACTTGCTAGTAAAGATGAGCAATGACAGCGATTGTTGCTATCAATCGAATGTGTAGCAAATTTGCGGTCTGCTATACATTCTGTGGATACTGCTTAGCCGAAAGATGGCGAGGCAATACGGGATGACGAAAGGAACTAGCACAAGGCTCGTTTGAAAACTTCTCTTTGTCCTCGAGACGGAGGGAGAGAGAACCACTTTGATCATACCAACAACTCACCAACCCATGGAAGAGTGGGACAGGCGCTACACTCACCGGAAGAACTAGCTCATCGTCTGGATAAGCAGAAGCTAAGATTTCGCCGGCGTCACTTCCGGTTTGGCCATCATCGCCATAATAGCATCAATAACAACAACAATGACAAGCAGGCGACATTGATGACATTGCTGTGTCGGCCGACGACGATGGCAAGTTGGCGGTTTTAAGTGGTCCGTCTGTGCCGTCCCGGCGCGCCTGCAAATCGACAAACGCTGAGTGGTTGTGGCAGCAAAAGCAATCATAGCTCCACAAAAGATGGTTATTATAACCTGCTGTTTGTCGGCCTCTAACCTAAGTTGCTTCTTTTTCTAGCCGCTTCTCAGTTTGTAGATAAGTCTCGTCCGTATTAGAGGTTGCAAACTGCTTTGGGCGCGAGCAAACGCAAAGTTGTTGTAGTCTGCCTGTGTCTGTTCATACTTTTGAATAATTTGGAGGAGAAAAGAGGAGTGGGCCGCCGGCGGTGACTGCTACAATGATAGCTGCGTCAATTCACAACAGCCTTGGTAGTGGCAGTAGAGAGGCAAAAAAGTGGCGCCACTCCAGCGGGACAAATCTTTTACATCCATCTCCGACGGAACCAAGACGCCAGAATGCTTGCTGTTATTGTCCGCCCGGACAACAGCAGTTACCATGACGACGATGAGTATGCAAATGAATATGAACCGCAGTGGTATCAGGGCAACTCTGTACGGCGCCGATGATTCCTCAACGGTACTGACGTCGCCTATGCTTTTTTCGCAAAATATGCCCAAGTTTCTTTAGAAGACTTCTGTTTTTCCAAGTTTTTTGATAGCCTTTCACCATTTATACTACACGCTGAAGAAAGATAAACGTCTTGTTCCTAGCTTATCAAGGTGACTTGCACCTTTCGCGCAAAAGGGATGAAGCGACGAAGGAAATGACGAGAAACTGTGAAACAGCAAACGATGACCGCTTGAAGGAGTACGAGCAATGGGTAAAAGTGAACGCAGCGCACTGGCTCATGCATGCTTGGGCAGTCCTGGTGCGGATTCATCTTGCAAAATCTGCGGCGTCTTACCTTCGTTCCGTT